CCCCCCCCCCCCCCCCCCCCCCCCGGAGGAAAAGAGCTTGAGTGAAGTGGAAAAGGTCAGATGAAATGGCTCAACTGAATCTGTGCAGACGGATCAATCGGGGGAGAATATTTGTCACTGTGGCCTGCAGAGGGAAAATTGTTATTTTCATAAGAAAGGTGACTGTGAACTCACTATGTGGAGATTCTCATGCAAATGTTAAGTAAATATTGCAAGAAGATGAAACATTGCAAAATATTAACAATATGAACATCTGCAAATTCAGCAGCGAGTGACATTTCCTGCAGAAGTGTCCCATGTCGTCCCTGGCTAAATGAAATAAATGGAGCGAGGTGGAACATGACGTTTTGGCCGATTATGCCCTTGAGGAGCTCTCCGTTTTGGGCCAGCTTTCTGCAAAAGTCAGGCTGGAGAATATAACCATTTCGGATCTAGTTCCTGTCATGTACCTATTCAAGTCGGCATTTTAACCTTTTCACAGACTGTTGAATAGTGCAAACATTTCCTAAAATCTGCTTTTAGGTATTGATGTGTTTTTTGGGGTTGATATTCCCACGCATACTAATTTCTAACTTTGATAATAACATTCCCATTCCAGAATACTTTTATTTAGGTATTCTTGTTGCCTTTGATCACACCTCTGAAATTAAAGGTAAAACACTTAAGAGAATTTGAGTGAGGCAAGAGTTTGTGTACACCAATGTCCAGTTGGGTTACTGCAGAACCACCATCAAATGACCAGTCGTATAGTTCCGGAGATTGAAGCTTTGACGTTTATACATTAATTGCCTGCATGACTCAACTTACTGACTGCTTTGATAATAAAAGATTCGGTCAGTATAGTGTGCTCTCTCTTTGTCCCGAGTTTAGGTGTGGAGCCAATGGCCAGCCAGCCCCAGACCCGAAACCGGATTATTTCGGGGAGAGGGACACTGGCACGAAGGGCTTGGAAAGCACCACCTTGGAGATCTGGCCTGCCCGACAGCAGCATCCCCCTAGGGAGCTGTACATATGCGAGTCCCAGGATGAGGCCTACTATGGGGAGGCAGAGAGTGATGCAGAGACCCCTGGCCAGGCTTCCTGGGATCGTGTCCACCAGCTGGACCCTTTCACCCCAGGGTCCGTTGTGGAGCTGCAGCTTTCGCTCTCAGACCATAGCTTGGACGAGGGGGGCACCCTCACCCCCCCATCACGGCACAGCAGCTCTCAGGTTGAGGTCATTCACACTTCCACCACCAGCCAGGCCATACGTGTCCCTGGCACCGGCCCCGGGTCCGGATCCCTAGGCCAGGTGGAGGTGACCCTGCAGTGGCCTCACAAGGGCTCCCAAGGGGAGGGGACAGTCAGCGAAGGCTCAGAACCCGAGAGCAGTGGGAGGGCAGAGGAGGACGGAGGAGCCCAAGAAGCACCTCCTACCGCTGAGCCCCTCGGAAGCTCCTCAGAGGAGTTTGACTCGGAGGCGGAGAAGGACGGCGGCAAACCTAACAAGCACCAGGCCCGACATGCCAGTGAGTACCGCACCCCCCCACCCCCCCTCTCCATTTGTTCAGCTGCTGCTCTATAAGAGATGCCTAAGGGGGGCGTGACCCTTGCATTTTTGGTTTTGTCTGGCAGAAGTGCTGGTTGCTTTAAAGGGCTGGTGGGCGTCGCGTGGTGAGCAGGACCGACGGCTAGCGCATATGCATCACGGCTTGAGTTACTGTGTGCCGAGTACCAAATGCAGATAATGCATGTAAGGACTCTGCACTGTCAGTATTGTGACTTTTGTTAGGTTTGCTTTTTGTAAATGTCCAAGCACAGCAAAGGCAACGTGATTCATGTTAATGAAAAACGGTGTGGAAGCGCGGAGGTCACCGGTTGGGGGCTGGTTGCAGCCTTTTCGGTTGCCGCTCTGCCCTGTGGGGACGTGGGCTTGGCAGGTGCAGGGTGGAGTCCCCCCCCCCCCACCATACTTCAGGCTGCTAGCGGTTAAGAATAAACACGGCAACGCTCTGACGATGCTGGCAGGAGCCCGCTTGATGGACGCGAGCATGTGTGGCGACTGCCGACACCTGATCCTTTAAAACTGGCCGTCTTGCCCACGGCAAAGGTGCCCACCCAACTTCTCCTGCCTTCTAGAGCCTGAGGTTAGTCGGTAAAATATCGTCAAGGTGATTTTTCTATTGCTGGCATAATTCGTTGTGATTTCTCGTTGTTGGATTCCGGGTTTCGAGAATGGGGAGTGGAAATATCAGCTCTTTTGCTTCTGTTTGTTGATAAAAAAAAACGATGTAAATTTTATAAATTAACCAGAGCCGGAAGAGTGCCTGCAGATATGGTGTTGTATAGATACTTTGCTGCCAATTCATTATACTCCAGGGTTGTCGTGTCTTCCAGAAGTTTCTATAATATTTTACTTCTGGAAATGACATATTCTTGTTTGTTCTTCTGCTTTACTGTTAGAAGCTGTACTATATGTTAAAATAAACTTTATACTGAAGGAGCATTGTGGAAAATGGCATGCATGCGTTAAATATTTATGTGTCTCCTGTATGACGGGCATGAACCTTGTAATATTTTGACCCAGGGATGTTCATGGATGATGTGCATGATGTGAATTCTGACATTTGTTAGATGTGACAGTGGTGTAAAAATAAGCCATAGGTACTTTCAGACGCAGTTTGACTATAAATATAATATATAAGTACTCACAATAGCGCTATTGTGACCCTGTGTGGAGCTTTGTTATTTATTTTATTCCTGCTTTTTCCACTGTGGCGCATGTTGAATGTGAAACACCGTGGAGGATAGGCGTTTGATTAATTGGACTGGGATATTTATTGGGATTAGATATTGACTTCCTAATGAAGGGTGCTTTACAAGCTTGACATTTCATCAGGCAAAACCATGTGGAGGACCCTAGACTGAGCACAAACGCAACATGCAAAATATTGTTAGATTTACAGTTTTTTCACAATGCATTTTTATGTGTGTATATTTGATGCTATTATGAATATGTGACAGGAATGACTAAATTTATAATGAACCTACAATATTTAATACATTCTGCATTTGCAGAATTACGCTACACATTTACGGTTCACAAACACAAAAAACACAATCACCCAATACGGTCGACTATGTATTTAGTTTTCTGGCTTTGTTTATTAAAACACAATGAGTTTGCTCTGGAAATCATGCTAAAGATTATGTTCTTATAAAGCTTTAGAACTGACATTAATATCTTTACATTTTTAAACTGAGCCAAGTAAGAGAGCCAGTGTTCACCTCATCACATAAAAAAGATGCTCGTATATAACTGTGATCAGATTTCAGAAATATTTGAAGGATCCTGGTTATTTTTCACAACTATGCACATCCTTAAGTGATTGGAGACTACCTCAGTTTTGCAAACTTCTATTAATAATTGTTGCTTCATGCTTTAGAGTGGGTCACTAGAAGCAGTCTTTTGGAACACTGTCCCACTTGTCTCCTTCTCTCTTTTCTCCTCTCCTCCATGTTACCCATCTTCCCTACTAGGGTTCAGGCGCAGTGAGAGCCAGTCAGAGAAGCAGGTGAAGGAGGCCAAGTCTAAATGTAGGCGCATTGCCCTGTTGCTGACGGCGGCACCCAGCTCCAACAACAAAGGGGTGTTGATGTTCAAAAAGCACAGGCAAAGAGCCAAGAAGTTCACACTAGTCAGCTACGGGACCGGGGAGGACGCACCAGAAGATACAGACGAAGACGAGGACCAGGAAGGCAAGGAACACACTGTCGAATTCAACTTCTTTGCCACCAGTGAGTCAGAGCTTGATGAGGAGTTGTTCACCGAAACACAAGGCCGTGGCCGCATTGTGACCTTCGACTGGGACACAGGACTATTGGAGATTGAGAAGAAGTTGGAGAACCCGCAGGATATGGACCGTCTGCCTGAAACTAAAGGCAAAGGAGCTCTCATGTTTGCCCAGCGCCGACAACGGATGGACGAGATCACAGCTGAGCATGAGGAAATGAGGCGGAAAGGCATACCAGTGGAAGGGGTCCAGGAAGTACAAGATGTCAACGTTGTCAAGCTAGGACCATATCAGACAGAGGAGCAGTCGTATATGCAGTCAGTAGAGAGCCAGGTGTACATGGATGTGAATCTGCAGCAGCATCACCAACAACAGCAACAGCAATATCAGCAGCCACACTACGAACAACCACAGCAATACCAGGATCAGCAACAGTACCAACAACAACAGCACTACCACGATCAGCAACAACACCAACAACAACAACAGCACTACCAGGATCTGCAACAATACCAACAACAACAGTACTCACAGCAGCAACAATATCAGCAGCAGCAATACCAGCAGATTCAACAATATTCTCAAAGCATGAACGGCATGGCACTCCACCAAGCTACAGACATGCAGAAATCTACCATCATTACGAATAAGACAGCAAAACCCTTCTCTGGAGTGGCGAACAAAGTTGCCACCCCCTTTTTACCCTCTAGTAGTGCAAGTAGCCAACAGCAAACGGTATACTCAGAAAATCAGTACAGCACAGTCCAAACCCAAGGTTGGTCATCGGTGGGATCCAGTGAACAGATAGCATCACGCGATGAGCGGATTGCAGTACCAGCGATAAAGACTGGCATCCTACAAGACTGTAGGAAGAAGGACACCTCAAAACCAATGTTTACTTTTAAAGAAGCCCCTAAGATGTCACCAAATCCTATGCTTCTGAATCTTTTAAACAAGAATGAAAGTAAGGCTGGATTTCAGTCATGCCCCGAGGAGGACTACCTCAGCCTTGGTGCTGAGGCCTGTAACTTCTTGCAAGGCCCAAGAGTTAAGCAAAAGGTTCCTCCCCCAGTAGCCCCGAAGCCTGCCATCAATCCAGCCTCACCACCATGGTCTCCGCCACCTGCATCTGGTGACCAGGTGCCATCTCATTTAGCAGAAAATGAAGTTACCACCCCAGCTTCTGCCACTGCTGCAGTCTCATTGTTACCTCCTGGTTCAGCCCCTGCCCCTGTTGCCGCCCCTGCCCCAATGCCAGAAGTTCCCTTATCCTCACAACCTCATGCTGCTGTGAGTGCATGGAGCCCCTTGGAATCTCAGCGACAGCCAGAGCAACCAGATGTTCCCCAGGACAAGGAACAGCCCCACCAACCAGAGAGTGCATTAGCTTCAACCTTCGGGTCACAATCACAGCCTGGACCACAACCACCTTTGAGTACTTGGAGCCCAGCTCAAACACAGTCTCAAGCACCTGTGAGTACTTGGGCATCAGCTCCAACTCAGGTAGAGCCACAGCCACCTGTGAGCTCCTGGACCCCTACTCAAGCCCAGGCACAGCAACCCGTGAAAGCATGGACTCCAGCACAAACGCATTCACAGGCACAACCTCAGCCACCTGTTAGTGCGTGGACCCCAGCCCACGCGCAAGCACCGCAACAGCCACCCAGGTCCTCACCTGTACAATTGCACACACAACAGAAGCCACCGACCCATATTAGTTCTTGGCCTGGAGTTCAGCAACAGCCAAACCTACAGTCAACAGATAGTGCTTGGACTCAAGACCCAGCTCAAGCACAGGCACAGCCATCTTGGGCCTCACCTGGACAACCGCAGCTACAAGAACAATCAAAGGCACAGTGTTATGTTAGTTCTTGGCCTCCGGCTCAAACCCAGGCACAAACACAGCCACCTTGGTCATTTGCAGCACAACCTCAAACCCAGGCACAAACACAGCCACAGTCTCTTGTTAGTTCTTGGCCTCCCCCTCCAACTTCACCTCCCTGGCCTTCACCTCCTCAACCTCAGGCACAGCAACAGCCGTCCATGAGCATCTGGGCACCAGAGCCACCACAGACCCACCCTGAACCACCCATGAACGCCTGGGCTCCAGCCCCGAGCCAGCTGCAGCCTTCTTGGACTTCACTGCCTCAAACCCAGGCACCACCACAGACACCTGTAAGCACCTTGACATCTTCCCATAGCCATGGACAGCCACAGCCGCCGGTGAGTGCTTGGGGCCCCGCTCAGGCCCAGGGCCCCCCACAACCTCCATGGGCTTCACAACCATCCATGAATTCTTGGAGCCCACAGCCTCTGGCCCCCGTGAGTACCATGGCTATGAACCAGGGTCCCTCTGCTTCTCATCAGCCTGTGAAATCATGGAACCAGCCGCAGAGCGGAACCAGTTCATTGGGTCATCCTCCTCCACGGAGAACAAATTCCTACACGCCCTCCACCCCTCCTGGAATTGCCTCCATAGCAGGAGGGGTTGGCTCAGCTTTCGAAATGCCAGCTCTGCGGGGAAAAGGAGCAGAGCTCTTTGCAAAGAGGCAGTCACGCATGGAGAAGTTTGTCGTGGATTCTTCTACTGTGCAGACAAACAAGGTTAGATCCGTATCACCCACCCCTTCATTGCCTTGTTCTTGGAAATACACATCCAATGTGCGGGCCCCTCCTCCCTTGGCATACAATCCAATTCATTCCCCATCCTATCCCCCTGGAGCAATTAAGCAGTCACCTGCCTCTAGCCCATCAGTTAATGTTAAAGGTAAAGGCAAAGATAAACCAGCCCCCAAGCCCCTGCATGTTCTGGATGTCATGAAACACCAGCCTTATCAGCTGAACTCCTCCCTCTTCACATATGGAGCAGCTGGGGATTCAAAGGGTCCTCCGTCAAAACTGGGCCCTGCCCCTGTCAACAACAACCAACCAGTCAAATATGAGCAGTTCCCTCCCCCCCAGCCTTCTGGACCCATGAATGCCCCATATACCCACCAGCCCCAGCAACCCACTTACGGGTTCCCCAGTCCATCATCTTCTCTGCAAGAGGGTCCATATCAACAAGGCTCTGCCCCTCCCTACCAACCAGCCCCTAACTCCCACTTTAACCAAGGTCCTTCCAACACCTACCAACAACCTCCAAACCCTTATTATCAACCAACCGCTTCCCCACCCTACCACCCTGATCAAATCCCTGTGTACCAGCAATCCCAGAGCCCTCCTTATCCACCAGCTCCTACTCAATCCTACCAACTAGGCCCAAGCCCTCCCTACCAAGATCCCCCAACTCCCACCTTCCAGCCTTCCCCCAGTGCCTACGTGGCTCCGAGCTACCAAGTGCCCCCAAAGCCCGCATCTGTCACTGGAGGTCCTACAACAGCTCCACGGCCTAAATTCTCAGCCAAAAAATCAGCAGCACAGGTGTGGAAGCCAACCACTACAGGGCAGGAATGATTTAGACCCAGTAGTGAAACAACAAGCACAGGGTATTCATAACCCAGAGTGAATGTTATTGAGAACTTGGTTCCTAAATTTCACGTTTAACAGATCGAGGGGTGAGAAAGATACCTGTTTATTCATGCTCTGCTAGATGCCTGCTTTAATATTTTTTAGTGTTCAGCAGATTGGTGTTTGTATCATTCAAGGATGAGTGGTAAGTGGTCATTTTAACTTTACAATGACGTTTTTGTTTTAAAAATTATTTTCTTTTGTTTTGGGTTTTCTAATTTTCATTTGGCAGCAGTGCGTTGTCACATTGAAGCTCAATGGAACATGTTAAATCAAAAAGTTGAAAGGTTTCATTAGTACAGTATATGCTGGAGTGTTTTTAGGGACTGAAATGTTTTAAAAGTCTCATTTAAAATGCCAGCAACAGGAAATGTCGGCATGATAGAGGAATTCCTGCAAATGGATTTTCGAAGGCTGTAATATGTTGGCTAACCTTGTATTGTGAGAGTGAATTGTGTGACTCGGTGTTGATTTGTAAGTGTTGATGCCATTTATGAGAAAGCAAGTTAAGTGGGAAGAATAGCAGAGTTCCAGAGAAACTGCTAATAGTTTGAGGAAAAAGTGGAAGATTTGTTTTGACAAGGTGGACAAAGTAAATGATAGCTTTAAAAATTAAGGAAATAATGTTTCGAAGAGGTTTACCAGGTATTTAAGAGATAGTGTTGTGCAGTAGTTTTAACGCAATGTTAATGGTGAGTATCAGATATGTAAAGTTTCAAAATGTAAGAAAGAAACTCAAACACTGTGGTAAAACATTGATCATTTTGGATGACAGAAGGTGATTAGCAATTTCATGTTGCTAAAGTTGTCAGTGTGAGCATAAAGCTGTGAAAACACAAAGCGTTTTACTGTAGCTCTCCGTCTGGCTGTGAGATGTGTACAGTCTCGTTCCAGCTCTTCATAGATCCCGCTTGACTTCGGTGGAGTTATTCAGACTTTCTTCCACCTGTGGTGTTATGCGAGACCTCTAAATTTAAACTGCGACACGTCACTCATTTTGCGCTTGTGCTTGTGTCTGTGTAGGGGGGGGGGGGGGTTGGCTATAAGGGAGCTGTGCATTTATCCTGCAGTCATGTCCTCTACCTGAATCACCTCAGGTCTATTTGTTATTAATGCAGCTGGTGTTGTTTGTACCCACAAGCCCCTCACAACTTTAAAATGTCAGAATAAAACCGAAAGCAAAGTTTCCAAAAATGTAAATGCAGAAAAAAGCCCATGTTTGCAAGATTTGGTGAAACCTATCATCGTCTTCTGTTTTTTTTTCTCTTCTCATGTTTCTTCTTGTAAGCTTGTACCACGGTGCCATTAAAAATTCAGTTTTATCTGTTTTTGTTTGGTTTTCATTGCTTGTTTGTTTTTGCATGCGGTCTGGACACACCCACCCACTCTGTGTTCCACGCTTGGCAATGTGTACACATCACCCGCGATCATGCAGGTGCAGACAGCGCCTTGGTTGCCTATTGGTTTTGCACATCACCCTGCATTTCCATTCCTCCTGTCCATTGGCTGACTGTTTCACAGCTTTTTTTTTTTTGGCTTGGTAAACTCAAGAAGGCAAACTTCCCACCCAGCTGCATACTCCCTGCATTAGGATTCAAAAAGTATTCTCAATCCCAGAATGCATTGCTTTACCTCACGGACATGTCAGAAATGTATTGAGTTGTGTTTGGCAGAGCGTTGATACTGGTGGTGTTCTTAGACTCTCTCCTCCTGCATCATTGATTCTTTCATCAGCTGTGACATATGGGGTCCAACGTGTTTTTTTTTTCTGTCCGGGAACAAATACTTTATGTTACATTTATATTTCTGATGGGTTGAACACAGTCCCACTCGTCTTTGTCTTAATCGAAAAAAATTAACTGCTGCTGCTGCTTCCGATACTCAGTGTATAATTAGCTATTAGCCGGAGTGATTCTAGGATTTGACCCACAGGGGGCTCCCTGAAGAACCCTGGGACACCATCCCCAAGGGATGGGGGCGAGTGGGGGGGTGAACATATCACAAAATTATTTTCAGGGGGGCTGAGAGAAAAAGATGGGTCTAGAACCGCTTATAGTTATTAGCGATTTAAAAAGCATGTTATTGTGGGGACCTGCTACCCTGCATGCACTAAGCAGCTGGAAGCCAGATGAATGCATGTATTTTGCAGTTCATACAGGTTATTGAAATGTATAGCTTTACAGAAAAAAATGACCATGGCTTTTAAGATAAGCAGGTTTGGGCCTGACAAGTACTTGGATGGGAGACCAACTAGGAAAGCTGGGTGGAAGAGGTGTTGGTGTGGCTAACAGGTTAGCCCAGGGGTGGCCAATCTTACCCGCAAAGGGCCGGTGTGTATGCAGGTTTTTGGGATAACCTGTAGGTCAGCTGTTCAAACCCAGGTGTGAGGACTCTTTCAGCCAATCAGTCCTCTAATTAGTGACCTAATTAGGGAGTTGCAGCGAAAACCTGCACACACACCGGCCCATTGCTGATGATTGGCCACCCCTAGGTTAGTCCATCCTGTGGTCAGTGTGGATCCCAGTGCAGTGATGGGGACACTGTGGCCAACAGGTTAGTCCATCCTGTGGTCAGTGTGGATCCCAGTACGGTGATGGGGACACTGTGGTCAACAGGTTAGCCCATCCTTCACCACCTTAGATACTGTGTGGCAAGAGTACTGGTGTATAATGGCTTCTGTCACATTATCCAGGGGGGTGTTAAACAGTGCTGGTGGTTGAAGTGGCTCCCCATTGGTTCTGTAAAGCGCTTTGGGTGGCATGAAAAGCGCTATTTAAATGTGACATTCATTCTTTGTCATATGGACAGTTTTACTAGTCTGTATGTTTGGAGTACAGGTTAGTAATTGTGTTTAATGATAAAGTACATTAAACATTTTATTATGCACATAAAGTATATGTCAAAATGTTAAAATAATAGTAATAATAACAATAATAATGGTTAAATTACTGGTGCTGATAGTTAATTTGCGGAACACTTACCTGCATGATCTCAGGTTGATGATGGATGGCGACATTCTGAAGGTATGTCTCAATCATCAACGTTTCTTGTCATGAATTCACTGCTGGTGACACAGAGCAGACAGTTATGATATTTCAACAGCGATGACCTCGCTTACTTTTAGAGTTGTGTGTGGACCAAATTCATCTCTGTTGCATCATATGTGTTATTTTTAGCTTAAGGGAGGCTCTGTCCTCACTAGGAGCTGAAGAGACTTAGGCCTTGGGTTCAGTCTATCTCATAGGTCTTTTCATTATTAATTACTAACAGTTACTCGTGCATTTAGTAATGTTATGAAATGACATATGGTATCAGCTGAATACAGGGAATAACTGTGGTGAGAGTATATTGTGATTTCAACTTGAATTACCTGCCACACTGATGGTCCTGCCAGCTCAAGTACTGGGATATGCACTCTGAGATGACACTATTGCTCTTGTGATGTCACAGGTCCAGCAAACACAGACATAATACGACAGACATTACTCTGTATCACCCCTGGGTTACACTGCAATAATATCTTTGCAGGTGCTTTAGCAAGTTATTCTTGTAGCAAACCGCATTATGCGTTTATGCAGTGGTGTATTTTGTAGAAGAGCAATCTGTCTTAAAGGCCTTTGCTCCTGGCTACAGCAGCAATTGGTCTGTGGGGATTTGAACTGGTTTGAGTTTTGGCCACCAGCAGCAGACCACCTGTTCGAGCCACCAAGACGACGAGGCCGTTTCGTTGCCCTGCCCTTGCTATTTTTAGTGATGGGTGCTGCTTAAGATTCATGAATGTAGATGATCAGTCTTGTAGCAAAGATGTGCCAAACGTCCAACACCAGAGCTCGGGGAAAAAAAACGTAGCAAAGTCCTTCACATGTCCCTCCGAAGCCAGAGCCACTGAGACGGCAAATGCAACCTGACAGTTATTCCAGCCTGACCCACAATTAGAGAGACGAGGGAATTGAGAATGGGGGGGGGGGGGGGGGTCTTACCTTCTCTGGGGGTTAACCCTTTCAAACAACCAAAAAAGTGCATGTTTCTTGAAGAACACAAGAACACAATACCTTCTTTGGAAGTATGCTGTATTTGTGGAATATTTAAGAGACACTTAAGCTTTAAACATATGTACTTTTAATTTTATGGACTTTCAGCGAGAGCAGTTACGATTTGGAAGTCAGGATCCACTTCCCTGTGCTTTTCGGGTGAAAGATTACATCACTTCCCTTCACCTGAACTGATGCCACGATGCTTTACAATAAAGCACCAGAGGGTGGCAGCATAGGCCTCCTGTTTATGCCTAACCCTTTCCCACAATTCCCTGACATCACTGGGCCTCAGTGACTGTCTTACCACTTCCAGCATTAATTTTGGGAACTGCTCCATTTACGTTGTGTGACTTACAAAAACGCTTGTCACCTGTTTACGTTTTATAATTGTAAAAGAGCATACATAAGAAGCACCTTTGCCATAATTAGCAATCACACTGACATTAGTGTCGAAAAGACCACCAGGACACTGCCTTACACTTTGAAAGAAAAACAAAAAGTCATTTACATGATCATTTTTTTCTTTGTTCGGTGTGAAACCAATGTAAGGGATCTTTCTGAAAGTTCAGACTACTGTGCAATGATTTTACATGAAATATGCAACCACTCATGAGTGACTCATATAGTGACTGGTGGAGTCTCATTGTTATGCGGTCATAAATACATTTTTCACACTATAAGTCAGAGATCCTAAATGATGCATGATGTCAGCTAAATACCAGCTGTAGTCTTCCATGAGGCAATGGCAGGAGCCGAGAGCGTTGGGACGGACTCTTCCGGACTGCGGTGTACAGGTGTTGTCGCACGTCCAGCCGGCAGGTCTTCATCACCGAGGGGAGAGTGTCGCTGGCACCCTTGGCTGATCTGAGACGCGGCTTTGGCTTCTCGGGTCTCGCATTGCCTTACTCAAATTGTAGACATTTAATTGAATGCGATACACCTGTACATTAACAAGCAAGGCAGGCTGTTTTATCAATAACTAATTGAGAAGCATAAAACATTATTAACTACTGTATTACTACAACTACTGTAGTTTGAAGTGCTGTCAGTTGAATTATATGTATAATAGGTTCCATGCAGTGTGAGAAATACGGGGGGGGGGGGTCCGACACCCCCGATTAACCCATGAGACCCCCTGAAAGCCTCAAAAGCAAAATTTTAAGGGGGTCTCCAGATCGGTATTGCACAACAATAGGGAGATGGGGACCCCCCCCTGAATATTGATGGGTATTTCACACACTGGTTCCGTGCCTAGTTTGATAGAGAGAACATAGTTATCGATAGCAGAAAATATTATTTCTGGTTAAGTATACTGAGAAAGGAAAGAATATTAGACATGAAATAAACCAGTGTAACGCCTATCTTTGCAGGAACTCGACAAGAGTTACTCTCTGTCTCTACCCAGAAAGCTTCACTCCTCGTCCGCCAGCTCAGAACACGCGCTCTCTTCTGGCTTTCAGCCCCCGGAGATTAAAGTGCCATGGTGGGGGAAAGGACACAAGCCACCCACGCCCTGGGAAGCGGCGTCCAGGCACCCGCTGGGGCTGGTGGACGAGGCCTTCTCCTTCCAGAGCTTCCAGAGAGACCTGGCCTCCGGCATCTGCTCCGCCGCGCACCGCAAGTCGCTGCCAGAGCCCCCGGCGGAATGGAAGGCCAGGGTGTCCTACGAGCCTCGCCGGGCCGGCGGCGAGGGGGCGGGAGGCTGCCGCTTCATGCCCACGTGTGTCGCCTCACCGACCAGGAGCGTAGCGTCAGCCCCGGCCGCGCCCGTTCCCTACGTGTCTCCCTGGAGATGGCAGGCCCAGAGGTCCTCTACCGAGTCTGAGATCAATCACACGGTGCCTAGTCCCGGGCACAGGGGGGGCATCAGCCAGCCAGGCTACACATCCACATACACCATGCCCTGGAGACGCTAACCCAGCATGCACAATCTGCGAGGCCCACATACAATACCGATGGTACGACACGCGGAAAAGAAACTCCTCACGGGTCAAATGAGGTCACACATGTTTCTGAGCTCCACAGAGCACCTGAGGCTGTTATTTAGCATGTGTTTTACGAGGGAATGAGGATAATGATACAGATGAAGACGACAGATACAAGAGGTTTTGAAATGGATTGAAATGTCATTTAAGGACACTATGCACAATGATCTATGCATACGGATTGCAGTAACAGAAAAATATAGGATAGTTCAAAATCAGATGGAATCTCCCATTGATCAGATAAGGACATGAGAGGTTTTGGCTGGCGTCTGATTGGCATGCCAAAAAATGTAAATAATTTTGTAATGAATGGACAATGAAACAGAAATGTGCTTTTCTCAATAAATGAGGCAATGGTAGTACAGGAGAAAGGGGTTAGGGTTAGGGTTAGGGTTAGGGGCGAGCAGGGAAGTCAGAGGGCCAAGGAGAACCTGGAAGGTTCCGGAGACCCAGGACTTTATATGGGTCCTAAAATCAACCACCCCCAAGCCTGACAAAATGTACCAGACAAAAAGTACTAGCGGGACCATAGCAGGGGGATCCAAGGATTTATTTTTTTGTCATGGGGGTGAGAGTTTCTATCACAATTTTTCAAGCTCGTACATCCCTGCAACTTAATAAGCTCAAGTCGAACTCAGTTCTGCTTATATAAAATAATATGCTTGAGGCATCAGCACTAGTGGAGTAGACAGTAACTGCCTGTTAATCGTCTCTAGTACATAGCAAAGGCAGATCATGACGCAGCAACAAGAGTAGCCTCATGTTAACCTACTGTGACCTCTGTCCTTATTTGAATAATGGAAGATTGACAGGACACGATTGTTCATCTTCACTAACAATGATTTACAGACAGGGAGTCAGAAAAAAGCCTTGGTTTTTATAACGTAGAAGAGTGTAAATCGTAAAGATTGAACCCATATAACTACATAAGAATAACAGATAGATTTGGCCACTTAAAAAGATTGTCAGGAAGTGTGTTTTTTGCGAATGCATTCTTGAGTGTGTTTTTAATCAACAGAAGCAGTGTCTCAGATTAAGTCAGTACTGAAAACCAGCTCTGAACGAGATTAATTCTGGTAATTTTATGGTGGATGCAGTTGACAAAGCGAAGGTCACAGGGTTATGAATTAAGCGATTAAGAATGGATATTTAAAACATGAACTAAACAGATATCAACGAGAAAGTTAAAACCATCAGATTTCCACGTAGTGGGTTCTGCGTCTTCAGACGGAAATTACGTCTAAAGACAAAACGTGGCTTTCGAGAAGTGAAGTTTTGCTGTCATTTAATATGATTACGCTCTCTTGTGGTCTCCAACATGCAATGAGGTGTCATGGTAGTTTAAGTGTCCTTAAGAGTGTAGTATGTAGTGTGAACTGGACTGGGAAATGTGGGAAATATGGCAGGGGCAGGGGCGGATTAAGGTGCACAGAGGCCCCTAGGCTACAGTAGTCTGTGGGCCCCCCAACCCCGCCCCCCTCCGCGCCAATGGGGGTCCCCTTGCAGGCAGGCACACGTGGGGCCCCTAGGCTTAAGCCATATCTAGCCTGTGCGTTAATCCGCCCCTGGGCAGGGGCCAGGTGATTGGATGGGTTAGTGCTGGTCCACCCAGTAGGTGACATAGGTGGCTGCCTAGGGTTCCATTCAGTGAGGGGGTGTGGATTTGCGAGCCAATTTAACCGGAGGCCATGGCAGAGAAGCTTGACACATGATGGGGAGTGGGATGGAAGTGGTGTTATCTCAGGAGAAGCTGGACGAGCAGTTAGTTCTCTCGGAGGTTAGTCAGTCTTTGTGCTGACTGATAACAAGACAGCGAACGCTGGAGGAATTGCAAAATGACCATGTACTTCAAATTCCTTCAGTTAGTATTTTTTTTAGCATTTGTCACAGCGATCTCTGCATTTAACTGCGGGGGGGGGAGGTTTTAAAATCTTGCAAGTGCAGCAAAAAAGGACTTTACTATCCCCAGTAGCGTATTTTTCACAGCCCACTACCCATCATAGAATATGTTCTTATACATACAGTTTTCTGTAAAATCAGAACTTTAGCTTTTTGTGTTTTATTTAACGCGCATATTCCAAGGGGATTTTCTAAGGCAGACCAGCGGCCATGATTTAGATACACAGAGCTGTATGTTAAATATCGCTAGAAACTAGAGATAATTTCCTCGTAACACAAAGATTACAGTAATTATTAGTAAGTAATTTACATCGAATAGTATAATGTAATTCTTCAATAACGCTTCTGGTACATTTTGTATCGCAAGCTAATATTGAAATGCGGACGACAATGCAAATAGGATGTAAATCCCTTAACAGTCGGTATTCAGTTCATTAGGTTAAGTGTATATAAAATCATAAATTGTTCACCGCACATAATCTCTGGTGTACAAACCTGAGCCAACGTAAACCTCTTTAAAGCTAATACTTTACATTATTATGACCTCTTCGACCATATAATTTTAACACCTGGTCAAATTAACCTTGTTTATGTAACGAAATAAGCATGTTTTTATTGCATTGCTGGAACAATGACAGGAAAACGTTATGTATGAAATCAGCTTGTTCTCAGTAAAAATGCAAGCTTTATTGTAATTCCAGGCCGTTAAAATGTTTGCTTTTTATTGTCGTTGTTGATTGATGTGCCACGATGCTTTATCGGTGATGTATTTATGTTCTCCTTCCTAAAGCCCTTGTTGGACACGTACATTAATTGTATCGTTTCTGTATTGATAACAGTTGTGTATCTTCACATTAACTTTCATACCATTCATTTGAGCTCTGTGTAAGAAAACGTTTATGAAATGAATTGCTTTTCAGTCGAATGGTGAACACATTCCTGCCAAGTTTTTGTCTTTTGTGCATTTATCTTCTCATATTAAAGCTGCCCTCGTTAGTTTTTATGCTTTCCTGGAGTTAAGTATTTGAAGGTATTACAGGAGTCTATTAATTTTAATACGGTTTTGACCGCTAACTAACTCAATATGGATTTAATGATTTTTTAAAGGTTCGCTTTATATTATTTAATGAATTAAAGTGTTCAAATGCCTTTGACAGTGGGATTCAATATTTAAATATATTACATCATTGTTTTTTACCTGCAGTCTGCTGTTTTCCAGCTTGTTTTAACACGCGCCATACTATTTCTTCGGTCCATGCAACTTTAGCATTTAAATCTGCAGCCTAACCTTGGCTGAACTGTTCTTAACGCTGGTAGTGAGACCGTGACCTTTCGAGTCCGTATATGAAAGCGTATATATTTACCAATCTGTATATTTTGTGCAAAAAGCAGTTGGTCGTTCCAGGTTTGCATTCTGGTGTATCTTAGTCATAATGAAGAAAGAGATTTTTTTTAAATTGTTTGCACAATTTGGTTTCACCCCTATTATTAAACAGCTCGCTTGCAGAAAAATACAGTGTATAAGTAGTATTGCCAAACTTTATTAACAAGCACAATATGGTAAATGCCTTATAAAGCAATCTATTTTGTGTTATGTGGTTATTGCGTGATTAAACGTGAAATATTTTAACATTAATTAACTATGGATCATATGACTGCAATGTAAGTTTCCCACAGATGTTTTTTCTTGTTTGGGGAACCCAGAACTCTATAGGGGTCAAGAAGCATGAATCCCGATTAAGATAATTATCACAATTATAATATCTAAATTTGGTGAATAAATGTAACACTTTATGATCATTTACATTTTGCTGCGATTTTAAGTATAGTCGACTGCGCTCTACTACAACACTGCACAGCGTATCGTATCTAGTTAATGAATGAAGTCGTAAAGTTATTTACATCGCAGCAGATGCAATCAGATTCTGCGCTAGATAAAATTCGGCCATATGCCCTGTCTAGTAGCTACAATCTCAACTGCAGGTGAACTGCAAAGTGGTAGGCCTACTACACCGCATTCATTAGGCTATATGTCATGATAGGCAGTTAAATGCATAGTCCATAAAAATAACAAGTGTTCATTGTGGACTTAACCTTGTTCATTAATGTTAAATGTGTGTTTCAATGGCTGTGTTACGGTACACATTTGCCACTATGCTTAGAAGCAAAAGATAAGGCAGGCCTAATTATCTCTGTGAGCACCGTAACAGAAACTACAGAGCGATTCAGTGGCATTAATTCCTAATTGCATCTATCTGGTTTGTGAAAAATCATAACATTTTTTTCAAACAATAATTTCAGTTTTAATATTACGAGACAAGCCCTACCAAAACTACTCAAAACCCATATTTTCCCTTATGATTTTCATTGTAATCTGGATGTCAAGTATAAAAAGTGAAGTCATTTGTAAGGTAAGAACAATAATTATTTCTTATTACGGTGCATATACTTGCCCTCAGGTTTGGGTCAAAAATTATTTTATGATTGACATGCTGATATTTGCCCTTTATTGCATTACCTGCCCATAGATAGGTTAGTCCTAATTCGGTATAAAGCAACAATCAATGCATTGTCTCTGTCAGCCGTAAACCTATATAATACAGTAGGAACACAACAGCCAATCCCTCGGGTTTAAGTATTTCGTGAAGCGCACGTTGCACATTTAAAAATCTGCACGCATGCAGCTCTTTACTTATAGAAGTCAGCAGCTGCTGTTCATGCGAGTGAAATTGACGCTATTCTTAGCATCGGGCTACGTTCTGTGCCGTTGAGTCACCATAACCCATCGCCTCCGATTTAAACGCCGTTTCTTCGCCGTCAGCTCTTTCTCGTACTTACTGCCAGCTTTGGGGGGGCGGGTACGGATGGGTTGAATGAAAGGCGACACCGGCGGCACTGGGGCTCTACAAACGCATGAACTCACTCCTCTTCAGAGAAATGTAAATCTGTAAATGAGGATGAGTAAATCCAATTTGAGTAAATGAGCATGACTCATTTTGAAGACACATCTGTTTTTTGTGTTTTAGGTTTCCATTATTATTATTACTATTATTACTATTATTATTATTATTATTATTATTATTAATAATAATAACAATAATTGACAATAATATAATTTTAATATATTGTTATAATATTGTTGTTAACAATAATAATATTATTATTAATAATAATAATAATAATATAGTGCTGCTTAAAATACAGTAAAAATTAGTTTAAAGCACTTGCAAGAAGAAAGTTCTGTTTTTATTTGTCTTGAGTCATTGTAATAGTTTATAGCCGCTGCTGTACCTGGAAAATGAGTCGCATCAGGCAAATGGAAAAGTGTGTCAGGTGTTGTATGTTATTTTATCAAACGTCTTCTCCAATAAACCGGACGGACTTGATGGTCAACTAAATAAACTTGGCTTAATGACATCACTGAATATTTGCGCTTATGATTCAGTTATTCATGTTGGGTGTGGAGATAGAAAAGTCCTTGTCATTACATACTGTATACAGGTTATGATTTGTCATTATGTGAATTTAAAGATTACCGTAAATCTTATACTAAACTAAAAACTAGGTGGAATAGTATATAAAATGTTATAAATCATCGTGCTGAACCAGATTGTATAACATCTACTGAATATATGCATTTTGTTTCATTAATTTGAATTGACTGGGCCAGCTAAGAGATAGATAGATAGATAGATAGATAGATAGATAGATAGATAGATAGATAGATAGGCAGGCAGATGATTTCCATGAGGTGTACATATTTTTTCACAAAGAAATAAACATCTATCTATCTATCTATCTATCTATCTATCTATCTATCTATCTATCTATCTATCTATCTATCTAAGAGATAACATCAGGGCCCACTTCATCTCAGGAAAAATGGAACGGTTTGTTACAGCCAAGTGTCCATGCTGATGTCAGCCTGCGGCCCCTGATAAGTTATCCTGCCCCCGCAGACACTGCACTGCTGCCCCCAGTCTTTCCCTTTGCATGTTCCCTGCCCCCGCAGACACTGCACTGCTGCCCCCAGTCTATCCCTTTGCATCGTCCCTGCGCCCGCAAACACTGCACTGCTGCCCCCAGTCTTTCCCTTTGCATGTTCCCTGCCCCCGCAGACACTGCACCGCTGCCCCCAGTCTATCCCTTTGCATGTTCCCCGTTCTCCATGTTTTCACTCATCACAGCTTGTCTTATAGACTTTGTGCAGCCTGAAGCGCCGACTTGCGGACGCAGTCCTGCCAATGTTCGCGCGAGACAGGAGCAGACAGGATTTTTAGTTCAGATAATGCTCGTTTGTTTATTTCTGACTGACTGTATCCAGGCACTTGGGTAGCTGTTTACTGTGAACCTCTTTCCTTTCTACTAACAACCACAGGAGGTTTTGTTTCCTCTCATGGAAACGTTCAGGAGGTCACCGTTCCATCACCTTCCCTTTATTATCTCCCGTATTAACAACATGCAGTATATGGACAGTACAAGACTATTACAACAGAGCTGTAATAAGCTGGTAACATTTGTTATTTTAGCCAGGTTATTCACAACTTATGAGGACCTCCAGTACAATTATCTTATTTGCTTAAAAATGTAACACAAGGTTCTGAAATCATTTTATTAGTGAAGAAAAACATTTTCTCAACAATTTTACAGGCGTGTGACCCTGACCAAGTGGATGGATAGATGGATGGATGGATAGATGGATGATTGTGCACAATTATACACAAATAAGACACAGAAAATCAAATTTCAGAGATTAATGATGTTTACATTTCATATTACATTATCTTTGGTTTATTTTTAAAATGTTCCAGAATGGACCAGAACGTGCAGAAGCAGTGTAGCCAGTCCCCAGTGAGATCAGGCTATTTTAAGGCCTGACCATCATATTATCAAAGTTGTGCGTGTTTTAAAGTTTTAAAGCATTTTGAACTTATGCATGGTAACACCACGTGGTTGACACGATTTTTGTGGGATTTTATATTATTTAAAATCTTATGTGGCCTGCACTACATTAGACTGACTAATGTGACTACGTCACTCCCAATATAGGACTTGGAGATCCTTAGGAATATATCTACTGTTGGGCACAGAAGGTCCCGCTGAGAACAATATGAGCAAAGCTCAGGAGTCACCGCTGATTTGCAAAGAACATTTTATTTCCCATGTGATTTAAAAGTCCAGACAAGACTGATGAGTCAGTTTCGTGCCAATGTGCGAATGTGTAAATTCAGTGAACTGAAATCCTACAAATATTACAAATCCTTCCAAGGAGTCATGTTTACTCTTCCTGATGAGAGTCAATACTGTTAAACTGCTTGAAAGGGAAAAAAGCAACCAAATAACTCTATATCTCTCTATATAACTTGAGCCTCTCAAATAACAACAGTTTTGTACTACTTGCAAAAATACAAAAAAGAAAAAGCAAATGTTTAAGCGCACAGCAGACTCAAATTATTCCGCTACGCAGCAAAAAGTAGAGACACGTCCCACGAACCAACAGGGGTTGAGACCACACTGTAGCTAAGCTGCATAACGTCTGTCATGCTCCTAAAACATCACAAAACAGTTCACTAATAAAGCTCAGCAGGTCCAAATGTGACAAACACCCCAATATTATATTCAAAATACACTTATAAATCAATAAAATCACATTGCACCAAAATCCATTATCCTTCCTTACATCAGCAGCTACCTCTGAGATAAACTGAATCACAATAACACATTATTATAATTACACTTTTAAAAAAGCCACTGTGACCTTGGGTTGTATGCCGTCACCACCTGAAATATACCTAAGAATACACAGAAATTAACTTTAAGCAATAACACAACAAACATAAGTCAACATTAGGCCAGCAATAGCCAAACACTCCAAATACACACACTAGAATGCAAGAAAAACACTGACCCCTTCTCTGCCCTAGCGTGCCACTCCTCAGTCTCACACTACGCACCTGTCTCCGCACAAAAGACTTCAGCTTCTACAACACATTGGTTACAGTCACTCTCCTTTTAAAATATAAATCTGCCGACGGCCCACAGATGGTAAAGGTGCCGTTTTACAACACATTAAAAACTCTCTGCTCGGACGAATCCCACACATTGACTTTTATTGTGTGATTATTAAATATCACAGTGTTGTTGACGTAAAGCCACAAAGAGCAGAAATGCTCGTATCCAAAAATGTAATAAGTGCTAGGGGCATTACATAGCCCGAAAGGCATCTTACGAAACTCAGTCTTCAGCTACCGGAAACTACTTATAACCTGCACTGGCCAAATTGAGTATGGAAAACAATATGGTTCCAGAAAGGGGAATAAGAGACTCTATTGTTTGTGGAAGAAGGAATGCATCTTTGGTGCTTAATTACATATACTGCCATCTTTTTGGACCTCCAAAATAGGAGAGGACTGTAATAACTTGCCCACACAACTCTAAGGACTCTTCAAGAAGAACAGTAACTACTATTGAGAAGGATGGAAATTAATAATATTGGTGATCAGGAATCTCATCTAACGTTGAATTTTAGAACACGCCAACCTTCCCTCACTTATACTGTACCATACTTCAGAAGGAGAGCCTTCCCCTTTTGCTCTTCTTCAAGACTAAGATTGGACTAAGAAACATCCCTCAAGTCAAGGAAACTTCTCTGTGCAAGATTCTACACTGCCAGATTCCTCATATGTATCAGTATTGTATTTTCGGGTAACTATCATACTGTAAATAACTCTCCTAATATATGTCTTGGAAACTAAATAAATTGAGTCTCTACATTCACAACTAGCACTGGAACGTCCTTCTCACACTAATCATAAAAGACCCCTAGATACTATATGACCATCTGTAAGCCTACCATTAGTGGACTCAAAGCAGACTGAAGGATGTTACCGAAACCGTGTATGTGTGATGCGGAGTATCTTTATGGACCTAACATATACAGCAGCATGCCTTACAACCTTAACCCTGGCTGCACCTCAAACTTATAACAGTCAGGGCTTCTGTCCAAGCTACACATGCAGGATGAAGACGGGCCTTGTGAAACTGTGTGAAACTATGCTGATTAAACATTTCTTCATAACTCTGAAACACATTCATCTCAAGGAGGGCAGGAAGCCCCTGACTTCCTACTATTGATGCATGTATCAGAAGAATCTTTAACCTCCAAAACACCCATATGGGGAAGAATCACACCCAAGACTTGGATGTCAAGCCCCAATAAATGGTTTTAAGTTGCAGACAGTGGTACTCCTGCACCTGCTGCAGGTCTGAGAGTGTTGCAGAAATAGACTCTCCATAATCATCGTCATCATAGATTAAGTATCGAGCAAATAGGAAATCTTATCTTTTCATCTCAACTTCTACCATAGGATGTGGCCTTAATAATTATGTTAAATAATTAAGGGGCATACAGTAGGTAAGCCCTTAGCATCCTCTTCTGGTGGTGACAACGTGAATTACATCTTGTACTATCTGGTACCAAACATTCCTCACCACCACTTAATCACAAGCTATAAGTCTGTCTCCACATGCTGCGCAATGAGAGGATTCAAATTCTCAAACATACTTGTTACACTCAAGCGCCTTTGAAGACATAAATCTGCAGCCCAGACACAGATACTAAAAAGTGATCTTTTATGAAACAATAAAAAGTGGCTACAGGTGGTTGTTAAACACGTATTTCAAAATAAAACTACATACAGAGCAGACATGTACATGTATATATAGCTGACAAGGGCTACAGGTCTTGTGAGGACTACTTGTCCAATGAGAATCAGGGGCGATTGTGGGGGGGGGGCAGGCAGTCCCCTGTGACCACATGCATGGCCCCCCCGTGGCCCCCGAAAATGTGTATGCTACTTGGGTGTGTAATATGATTATTATTAGTATTATTTACATTTATATGTGTGGGCTAAAATTTTGTGCGCTGGGAACAAGCGAAACGCAAACGTAAAAGCATTTTCTTGACGGACTCAACGTGGCTGCATCTGGTGGCCGAGTCGCTTCAGTTGGTGAAAAGCGAACTTAACGACAGAAGCAAAATAATCAAAACAGTCTAAACAAGAAGTCAGAGCGAGACACATATTTGTAAAAACTGTAAAATGTGACTGCAAAGCACTGCATAGAAAACTGATCAGTTTTCAAAAGTGTCTTTTGCTTTTTCAATGCTGGCAATTCGGTGTTAGTAATACTTGGAGGACATTAAGGTGAAATGCATCTGGCCCCCGTAATGGAACAAATAGCCTCAGTCTGCCCCCCCCCCCCCAGTTGAGAAGGGCCAGAACTGCCACTGATGAGAACAGCTCCAGTGGCCATTCCTCACATAAAATAAATGCCAACGTGCTTATTGTTTCACGTAGAAACGTGCATATTGCTTGGCTTTATAAACCTTTAGCAATGGAACTTTAAGGATTGTACTGAAGCCCTTATCCCATCCTGTGGAGGGACATTCTAATCCTATACAAATAGTAGATACCAATGTTTCAAAATCAGTGCCTTGGCTTGAACTAGGAATTCTGCCGATGTTGCACAATCAGAGTGATGTTTCCGACTAAAATGCCACCGGGATACATGACCTTGCAACTCCACTGGACTCTCTAGTCTGACACTGCATTTGCTTCAAGAAATATGCAGCTCTGGAAGTTAAACCATAAGGTGCTTTTAAAGGTGACTGATATTCAGGTACATAATGGAGATAAGGAATCCACACCAGAGTTCTTCGATGGCTTCTGCTCAACGTTAACTGTTAATTCACCTCACTGTTTTAGGCGTAAAATTCTTAACATCTTATGTCTACTTTGTCCAGCCAGAAGGCTTCCACAACACAATGGGTGAACGTCTCTCTTCGAAAGCAGTCAGATGTCATAATGAGGAGCGCTCAGGGGCTGCATTTCACCTCTATCTCCAGTTCGTCTACCGCGTGGGACAGCTGGTTAGAAGTCTATATTTAGTCGGTCGATGTGAGATACGTACCAGTGCCCACCCCCTCGTCTGCCATGACACTGGGGAGTGTGTGGACCCCATGAGATCAGACCCCCACCCCTACACACCCACCTAGCTTCCCTTGAGGACACAGGAGGCATCTGAGGAGGACAGGAGGTGTCTGCTGCTTCCAAGCAGTCCCATCCAGGTGCCCGCTGGTGCATTTCTGAGGTATGACCTTTTTGTTTAGTTATACATTTGTTTATACTGTGTAATCAGCACTATGCAATGAACAATGAAGCCACTGCAAAGATTTCTTTTTTAAAAAGAGTTACATTATTAAATATTATTGCATCCTTTTTCCCCACTCTAACAGGCGGGATATTTTTGTAAGTTTACGCTGTGAAAAAAAGAGTTTGTCTTCATGCTCTCTTTCAAGGTATATCTTGCAAAGGTCTCATTAACAGTCAGTTATGGTAAAATGTGAATATATTAGCCCTGGCTACGCTTTACTTTGTCTGTTGTGCCGTAACATTTCTAATAAGTTCATCCTACTGACAAATTTTTGTCTGCATGTTTTGAAAGCACTGAATCTTTATGAAACATTGTCCATATAAACCTGGATGATTCAAACGTTCACACAATTTAGGAAAGAGAACCTATTCTGTGTACAATTAAGCTGTATGGAAGTACAATAGTTCCATCCTATTCTGTGCCTTAATGGATTTAATTCTAATTTTTCTAGTTTTAATTCCAATGTGATTCCAGTGCATCCTGGCTCTCCAGCAGCCCTAGCTGTGTCATATTATTCTGTTGTTCTGTCCCTCCCCAGTTTTTAAATCCCTAGCTGTGGTTCCTCTAGTCTTGTGCACCTTACCAAGCCTCGGTGGGGCTGTCCTCTCACGGGAAGTTCCCAAACCGAACACCATCAGCTAGCATGTCGTTAGGGCAGGGACTACGCACCTCATCCGGGGCTTGTTCCGCAAGACCCCAGGGATGAGATCCTCACTTGTGTTTGCACATTTCGAGGGGAAGTTTTCATATTGGGTCGCTCTATATTAGTGGGAGTCTCCTCCTAAGAGTCAACATGAAGGGTCATGCAGAACAATGGAGGGGAACGGAGGTCCCACACCAGACCGTTTACAGCGAAGCAGCTCACAAATTTGGGTGGCAAACAACCCCAGTGCCACTGTGACACTTCCCCTGCCAGGACACAGGTGCACTCCAAGGTTATTTAAAGGGAAATGCCAACGCAATAAATCTCCCAGCTGAACTCTGACGACTCCGCGTGGACACGTCCGATCGACGGCGCCCCCCACGGGGGACGAGCTTCATTTCCGCTTCCGTGGGCTGGACCCGTCGTGCCACACGCATCCTGTGCTCTTGCTTTTTTTTTTATTCCAGGTTCCCCCGGGGGGGTGCCATGTCGCAGTACACCATGATGTCATCGCAGCAGAGGAAGGCCCAGGCGGCTGCGATCTGTCGAGAAGTCCGGGGCCCTTGCGGTATAGTGCGACTGCACGCTTCCTGTGCTGGCATGCATGGTGGATGACAGCAAGCGTGCACACGCGAGTGCGCGATCCCTTGCACGCACTCACACACGTTTTGTCATGAGCCAGTCTTCAAGCCCATTGTTGCGAGTCTCTCCATAGAATTTGACATTAATCAAATATTTTATTACTATAAGTCAGTGGGAGAAACTAGCACTAGAGTAGATTTAAGTATTTTGGTGGTTCTGCTGCCCGACTGATCACCTGTCCAGTGCCCAAAGCCTCCAGGGAACCAACTGGCTCTTTTGATATTGATTGCACTGTTAATTAAGGCCAGCTGGGCACTCTTTTTTGGGCAGATTTTTTTTTTTAAGTTGTGTTTTGCCAATGCTTTTTGAAGTGAACTCGGTAGTTCATTTGCTGTAGTTTGCATCTCTAATGAGCTTAAATTACTTTGAACATCAATTTAGTCTCATTTACCATTTAAATGCCACCCCTTACAATCTGCTGCGCTACCTATAGTGAGCTGTCTTTTTGTAGTTGTCCTTCTGAACATCTATTTCTGTGGGAGGTCATCTATGTATGGACATTGGGAGTATCCTAAAGACCCATGACAGCTGTGGGGCACTCTGAAGGGTAGCGTTTCAGCTTTTGCCTTCAGCATCACAAAGGCCGGGTCATAAAGCAGCAGAAGCCAGGGGGAAATTACGCCACGAGAACAATGCGTTAAAAAAGGAAAGGTGATGAGTAGCGTCTAGCTGGCTAATGACGGAATGCTAACGCTAGCAATTTTTTTTTTTTACGACTGTCTTTGTCCCTGCAGAGGATGTGATGGACCTGGGGAGAAAGGTCAGTGCTCCTAAGGAGATAATGCTGGAGGAGCTGTCTCTGTCGTCCAACAGGGGCTCGCGTCTGTTCAAGATGCGTCAGCGACGCTCGGATAGGTACACCTTCGAGAGCGTCCAGAATGAGGCTGCCTCTGTGACGCAGGTGAGCAAACCCGCAACTGCCCCCCCCCCCACCCCCGCCATGGCCATCTCCTGCTATCTTCGGTGACCCCTGGCGGGACGGGCGGACGGTCGCAGGATTAATGCACCTGGCGTCCTTCCACCGTCCTCCTGCAGTCAGCACCCAGGCAGCCGCCAGCGAATCGATCAGTTTTAGCAATCCTGCTGGCCGGACTGTATGTGCTCTGGCGAGTTCACCTCAAAAACGCTTTCGCTGGGTCTCCTTGCCTGTCGTGTTATAATGAAACTAAATTATTTCCGGAAGGTGCTCAGAACTAAGATTTGCAGAGCGTTTTGCCATCTGTTGTGAATGACAGGATATCTCTAAAACCTATTTGGGTTATGATATATATTCATGTGGACTTCCTCTTATCTGGTTTTTCGTCTTCTTGTTTTTCCTCAAAGGCCGGAGTAGTGACGACAAGTAAATGCAGCGAAACCAGCGAAGCTCCGCTCACTGCCCCAGATGCGGAGACTTCGGCAGCCCAGTCAGCGAACATCGCCCCAGGTACCGAGCTGCGTGAGCCCAGGTTGGACCCCCATGCTCAGAGTAATTAGAACACATTCTGCCGGGTCAAAGTGACTCACTGGATGGGCGGCTTGGCTGCTCTGACTCATGTGCAGCCTGGAGGCCCTGGTGTTCTTGCCGCGCCGTCAACAAATGCAGCGTTCTACTTTCCAGCAGTATTCACGTCAGTTAGATATCGCTTCCATGATGTCCACCTGGGACCTGCAGAGCCTTTTTGAGGGGGGTGCAGGTGCTTGACGTGGGTGGGGGGAGGGCATCTTGGTAAAATTTGCCGACCAGGGGGATCCCCCTTGGCAAACCAAAATTTGACCAGGTTGCAGTTTAAGTCAGAGACCAAAGAGGAGAACCCGCCAGCTCAAAAGGGAAGCAGGACACTAAGTTTTGGTTCTAGACTCATTATAACACCTTCATGGAAACTTTCTTCCGTGCTGTGCAAGGTTTAAAATAATACATTTGATGCTAGAAATGTATGAATCTGTGCCTGTTGGCGTCAGTGCAATCGGTTTATGAAGGGAAGACCCCAGAAAGGTTGGCATAGTGCAGCTGCCACCTGAAGAAGGTCCCCCTGGGCACCTGGCATTTCCTCAGATGAAGCGCTCCCAAAGCCCAGGAAGAGGAAAGCGGAACAGAATGCGGAGCCAGATGTAAACAGGGGTCAGCAGAATGCTGTCGCGCCTTTGGGAAGAGTCCGCATATCACATGGCACTCTGTTCTCTCCCGGCGCAGGAGAAGCCCGGAAAAAGCACGACGCAGTGGAATCCCTTCTGCCAACGACCGCGTAGCTTACTGTTACCAAACGGGTACTCTTGGGGTGCGCTGTCCCATGTCGTTGGTAAAATTTCTGTTTCCGGCAGAAAAGATCATCGAGGCAAAAGAGCTGTTAGTGAACACCCCCCCCCTGCCCTCCCCCCCGCAGCCTCACTTATTTTACACTGTTTAACTGAATTGGGCAACTTGGGTGGTCAAAGTTCATTAGCCAGGATAATGAAGGGGCATGATGACTGAAGAACAGATCGGTGGACATGAAGATCCTATTATGTCCTGGGAAATTTCTAAGTAGCTCAGATCATTTTCAGGGACAATTCAACATATATTCAGATATTTTCTATCTTTGATTTTCTCAGTCACAGTGCAAGCTGTTATACAGTATGTGCATTTTAAAAAATTGATTGCACTAGTCTGGAGATTTGCATTATCATTACTAATTACCCTAGGCCATCTAACCTCCTCGCTTCTACATCACGCTTTGCTCATTATCTGCACTAGGCCAGTGTTTCCCAACCCAGTCCTCGGGGAACCCCGGACAGTCCACGTTTTTGCTCCCTCCCAGCCAATCAGGAACACCCAATACCTGGTACAGGTGCGCTGGGAGCAGAGAGGAAGCAAAAACGTGGACTGTCCGGGGTTCCCCGAGGACTGGGTTGGGAAACACTGATCTAGGCCATTACTTTATTTTATTTATGTACATACTTTTATGATATTGATAGTCTTGATTGTTCTTCTTGACATCCCAAAGTAAATTCCTTGTATATAAAAGTTCTTGGTGATAAACACATGATTTTGGTTCTGATTCTGATTAGTCACAGCAACATGAGTAGGTGGCTTCTCACCTAGGTTACGGAGCACCCCTGAAGGATGTCCCACCAGAGAGGTTCAACAGCACAGCCGTCCCAAAGTCCTATCAGTCCCCCTGGGATCAGGCTGTGCTCAAAGACCCCTCCCTGGCTGACACTTTGAGCTCCAGTTATCTCACCCCCGAACCCCAGACGGAGGTTCCAATGTACAAGAGCTTTAACAGGTAATGGTTTAAAGTCCATAATGGCCCACAAAGGCTTTGCAGACTGTGTAGAGGATGTGCCCGCTTGGGACAGATTCAGGTATTCCAGGAATCGCGAGCAGTCATACAGGTTTCAGGCAAGCCATCCGAATGTCATGTGACTTGCACATGAAACATGATGATGATCAGATGAATTTCTCATTACCTCATGAAAACAAACAAAGGCTGAATTGCAGCACGCCCAGCACCTCTGTTGAGGAACGGTGAAGCCGACTATTGGTTTAGAGTGTAGAACGTTCTGAACCCGGCTGTAGAGGGGGGTGTGGCACAACAGGGACAGTGTCGGCACAGTCACGTTCCAGGCACATGTCAGGACTGGGCGCAGTGAGATGTTTTAGTAAGGTGAGACCTTTTAGCTTTTGTTAAGTCGGAAGTGAGGCACCCAGATTTGTGTTTTACTGCTGCTCATTGGGAAATGTGATGGGCCATTAATAATGCATACTACATTCCACGTTAGCCTGAAAATGAAATTGTACAGTTATTCAATATGACATCAGTGTCCACCTTACTGTAATTTCAGCAAGGCTAAATGTAGGTGGGTGGGGGCCCCTGGCCTACAATCATTGTTGGGGCCCTACCTAAAGTGCTGTCGTAACAACCAGGAAAAAAATGTAGGGCCCCTTACAACTCAACCCAACTTAGCCCATGCATAAGTCTGTCCTTCAGTCTATCCAGGGCACTGCTAGAGATTTTGGGCCTCATGAAAGCATATCATATTGGACCCCCAACCCAGACCAATCCAATTATGTTTTTTAGAGCCCCTGTCACTCAGGGGCCCTGGGAATCATCTTAACTCCCACCCTCCCCCTTTATGACTCCTCTGAGTCTATATAATGTTTTGCATCCTGTTTAACAGCTAAATCAGTGTTTGCCAATCTGCTCTTCAGGGACCCACAGTCAATCCATGTTTTTGCTCCCTCCGATCTAGCCAGACAGTCCACATTTTTGCTCCCCCCCAGCTCCAAGTCCACATGGACTGAGAGGGAGCAAAAATGTGGACTGTCTGTGGGTCCGCAAGGACTGGACTGGGAAACTCTGTCTCTTTAAATTTCAGGGTTGCTACGCCGTTCGGCGGATTTGACCGGGCCCCCACAGTGCCAGCTTTCAAAGCTCCAGAGCTGGACCTTCTTCTAGAAAATTCCCCCCACCCGTGCCCAGAGCTTCTGAACACGGCGGCAAAGAGACCCACGTTCAACAGGTCGGCCCTGGGCTGGGTAGCTAACACCTCCCCCCCCACCGTGATCCTGCAGCCCATGACGATCCCAGAGTCGGACGACCTCTGACGTGATGATGTGGCATTGCCTTAAAGCCGTCACCACGGGTCTGTAGAGGTGTACCTCTAACTTAGCTACAAGACGTGATCACTGATAAGCTAAGATGACTGGCCACCTCAGCAGAGTGAAGGTACCCTGAATGCTTCTAGATCAAAAGAACAGGGCGAATTAATTTGATAAGACCTAAGGATTTTGTGTATAAACGTAAGAAGGCTTGTAAATACAACTACATCATTACTGACAAGTGTTAACCCCGTGATTTGCGTACTGCATCATTTTTATTTATTAACTAATAAACAAGCATCTCTGTGTTCTGTAAACTTAGTTTAACAGATCTGCATTTAACGTCCTAGAATGGTGACTTTCCATGGACTAATGAAAAGGATTAAAAAGTCAATACACAAATTAAAAGAGCCTGCTAATCACTGATATACAGTATGGAAGTTTACTATTTGGTGATATAATGTATAATAGCAGACATTTCTTCAGCATTAAAATGGTAGAAATGTTTGACTGATAGTGGTGTAACATCCATCCAGAGTTGTGATGTGGACAAACTTTTAGTGATGTGGGGTGTCACCCATGATGACACACACTGCAGTGTCTATGTGTGTCTGGCACGTTCTGGAACACAGAGGGATATACGCCACTGAAACTCCTGTGTCCGTCTTTTCTATTTAACGCCCTTCCTATTCCACCCAGGTGAGGGGTCAGCAAGTTTAAATCTCACTGCTGCACTGTACACTGTTCCCTTCATGCGGGGCTTTTCTACTGTATTACATGCGAGTGTCTTACTGGGGAATGCTTTCGATTTTTGTTTTCCTCCTTAAATGGCCCAGCTGCAGGATATCGCCATGGAGACAGTCAACCTTATTCTGGTCATGATGTAGCACTGGAGGTCCATACTTGGACACAAACTCCCCCACTGTTACTGCAAAAAAAGTACTGAGTGGGAGTAACCATGGGCATCTAACGACCGTGCACAAGTGACGCGGTCAAACGAAAGTCGACTGTGTCTAATCGGCGGTGTTTTATTGACACGGAGAAACATGACTACACTGATGCACCAGTGTCCACCACCATAGTCTAAATGCAAGCTAAACTTAGGGCTGCAACAGATAGCTTTTAAGCAGATGCTGAGTGCCCAGAGGTCATGAGACACAGGGAGTGGCCAGTGTCATAGTTCTTGGAAGTCAAAAGAAATGATTGTGGGCAGGCCTGATTTTCGTGGAATGCGAAATGAGAAACCAGAAGAAGGAAGGTGGAGACCACAGAAAATACTCCCAGGGTTACTGCACAAATCTTCACATGGACCTACCATCAGGAACATTTTCCTTGGTTCTTTCTGAGTATGGGTTTTCTCTTTAGTGTTGTGCTCGAGGGGACTGGTATTTGTTTCTGGCAATAGAAAAAGTCGGTGATGTGAAATAGCTTTTTTTAGGGTGGTTGCAGGCCAGGCGATTGTGGTGAAGGCGAAGGGGAGCGGGATTTGTGGGAAATTTCACACAGATGATGGATCCTTTAGAGGGACATGCAGTGTAATCAAGTTTCATCTCACTGTAAGGAAACAAGACAAAGGTTTCTTCTTTAAAAATACACACACAGAACAGTGACTCATTTCTAAAACAGAATAGAGACTGGTGAACACCCATGTGTCACACTGTGGAAAGGAGTGACTCGGGGGCAGGAGCAAGGAAAACAAAGGGGACTTTATTGGGGTTAATAGGCAGGAGCAGTGAAACAAAATGGGACTATGAGGGGTCAAAATGGGAAGGCTAGCAAAAGGTCAAGGACAAACTAACGAAGACAGGACAAACAGGTACTTTCATATATGGACTACTAAGGGACAACGAGTGTCAGGTGTGGCCCATTAGGGCCGTGTGAAGACAGAAGGATCAGTTGGATGTGGTGGGCAGGACATGACAATACCCCCCCGAAGCACAGGGACACAAGGACAAGCAGGAGAGAGGACCAAAGGGACCGAATGTGAGGGTAGACACATGGGGCGGGGAACAGACGGCACACAGAACAGCATGGGGCCCAGCAGGACCTACAAGGCATTATGGGACAGATACTACAACGGCATGACATGGGGCACCTAACAAGCAGGGCTCAAACCAGGCGGCAACAGAGGAGACCAACAGTCAGAACCACACAGATGTAACAGACCAGACTCGGTACATGGCCAGGCACCAGGGAAAAATATCGAACCTCAACAGGGCCCAGGGAGCAGAAGAGGCAGAGACGGAGACAGACAGAACAGGCCTCACCAAGACAGGATGGACAAGTTGAGGGGCAACAGAGACAGGAGTGGAAACAAAAGAGGAAGCCACTGGGGTCACTGAGGAAGCCGGTGGGCCAGTGGGACCGGAAAGCACAGAGGGGCCAGCGGGACCGGAGCATGCAGAGGGGACTGTAGGACCGGAGCAGGAGGGCACCAAAGGGACTGCAGGACCGGAGCAGGAGGGCACCAAGAGGACTGCAGGACCGGAGCAGGAGGGCACCAAGGGGACTGGAGGACCGGAGCAGGAGGGCACCATGGGGACTGCAGGACCGGAGCAGGAGGGCACCAAGGGGACTGCAGGACCGGAGCAGGAGGGCACCAAGGGGACTGGAGGACCGGAGCAGGGGGGCACCAAGGGGACTGCAGGAACGGAGCAGGGGGGCACCAAGGGGACTGGAGGACCGGAGCAGGAGGGCACCAAGGGGACTGGAGGACCGGAGCAGGAGGGCACCAAGGGGACTGCAGGACCGGAGCAGGGGGGCACCAAGGGAACTGGAGGACCTGCGAGGCAAGTGCCTGGGTGATAACTAGAGAATAGGCGGGAGCACTGACGATGACTGGAAAAGAAGTGAGCATTGGTGGGACAGCAAGAAACGAAGCAGGCACCAGTAGGACAGCAGGAGTTGGGGCGGGGGGCACCAGCAGGACAGGCGGACATGGCACTGGAGCCGGTGGAACACCAGGAGACAAGGCGGGCACTGGTGAGACATCAGAAGACAGAGCTGAAGCCAGCGGGATATCAGGAGATGGGACTGGTCCCGGTGGGACATCAGGAGACAGGGTGAAGCTGAGACACCTAGAGGTAAGCAGGGAGCAGCTAAAGACACCTAGAGGTGAATGGGGAGAGGCTGAGACACCTGGAGGCGAGCAGGGCGCAGCTGGGACACCTGGAGGCGAGCAGGGCGCAGCTGGGGCACCGGAGGGGGAGCAGGGCGCAGCTGGGGCACCGGAGGGGGAGCAGGGAAAATCCAGGACACCTGGAGGCAAGCAGAGTAAAGCTGGTACACCTGGGTCTGGTTCAGGCAGCACGGCTGCTGCGGGGCCAGGTGTGGGTGAGATGGCCCTCCTTGAGCTGAGAGCCTGGGACTTGGGCAGAGCAGCCCTCACAGGACCACGAGCCTGGGACTCGGTGGAGAGGCCCTCTCTGGGCTGAGAGTCTGGAGCACAGACAGAGCAGGGACCCTGGAGTGCAGCACCAGAGTGGATGGGCTCTGGAGATTCTGCTGAGATATCCTGGGCCATACGCGGGAGACACTGTATTTGGTGAGGCATGGTTAGCTTCCTCCACCTCTTCTTCCTGTGACTAGGAAGAACTGACAGGACTGTGGCAAGCTGTGGGGAGAGTCGTGGGGAGTTGAGCGCATCAGCGGGGGGATCTGTGGCGGTGAGCTGGGGAGAGTCGGCGGGCTCAATGGCTTCGCTCTCAAGCAGCCACTGTATTTCCTCCATATAGAGTCAGACCTCTGCCTCTTGGGGATCTGACTCTGGGGGGAGGCCCACTAGTATTTCCTTGCCCCACATGAAGACCACTCTGGCCGCAGACACGTCACACACAGTGGGGTTGAGCATCTACTCCCAGTGGGCGACCAGGAGGGAAATTTCCTTAGCTTGCAGGTGGGGTGGCTCATTGAGGTCTTCAGACTCATTGGGCTTCTCCAAGTCGCTATCAGAGAGTCATCCACAACCCATCAAGAAGTGCAGACCGGAGGTTCGGGCTGAGGTAGGTAAGTAGGTGCAGGGGAAAACATGCACGATGTGAAGCGTAGCCTGAGGGGCTCCTGGGAAGAGCCACTGGGAAATCTGTCACGCTAAGGGAAGGAAAGGCTGGGGGCAGGAGTAAGGCAAACAAAACGGGACTTTATTGGGGTTAACACACAGGAGCAGTGAAACAAAACAGGCCCAAAAGTGTTAAAACAGGAAGGCTAGCAAAAGATAGGGGACAGGCAACGAGAGGAATGATGTCAATGATTTGTCTAACAAAGACAGGACAATAAGATACTATTATACATAGATATCGTTCAATTGTTTATCCTTGGCAGAGAATGATTAATATATCTTTCTCGAGTATGTTCATCCCTTCAGACCATCAAATCTTGTTCTTTAATTTGTTGCCTGTATAATAAACAGCTACCACAGAATGTAGTGAAGCAGTTTATTGTCTTAGGAGATGCAAAATATTTTTGGGTACAGCATTCTTTCATTTTTCTGTCTACCTCCCATACAGTGTGTTTAGTCAGCTGGAGACGACTTGCCAGTTCTGATACCTTTGGAGAACATTAGCAAACTCCCTCAGGCCACAGTTTCTTAGGTTCCTCTCCATCAGGCATTGCAAATTCAACTCAACTGCAGACCTCGCTGCTTCCCTATCGATGTCAAGATCTACTCTGTTTATCAAGAGTAGACCGAACTCTCCATGAACTGTTTATCTGCACCACATCTGAGGATACAGAGGAAATGTTTTTGGGGTTGTAATTATGCCCCTTATCAGCACCTCTCTGTCTCCAGGGACAGTGTCCAGGGTTAATTAGTTGATGCTGCTTTGTGGCCTGCTAGGAGGCCTTACGCATAAGTCAGCCAAGCAGGCAACCACACTGGTGAAGAAAATCACTTTCACAAGTGTAACCCCCAGCTGTGAAAATTGCAGTGCCCTTTTCTGGGGTGTCACATTGCCTCCAAGCGTTTAATTTGCCATTTGTTTTTCAACCCGTTTACGTTATTTTAAGATTTTATCTGGCAATTACTACTGGGATAAACAGCTAGCACTTCTGTAGGCTCAGGTCACAGGGGTATTTTGGGGAGAATGGGACTTTTTATGCATGTAAGGTTATTGCACTAAGAAACATTCATCTTACTGAACCTTAGGAAAGTGTATTACCGATCTCAGTAACAGCACAATTCAATTAATCTGGTATTAAATATATGTATAAATGCATAAAAACAATGCTATAAAATTTTAGACTACAGGGTAAATAATAAGAAACTGAAAGAAAGAGTACAGAACAGAAAAATCTAGGTCATTTCAATTACCAACATTTATCCTTCCAGTGATCATGGTAAAAATATGTCAAATCTGTTGTTGTGATGAATAATTGCAAAGGAAACAGAAAATCTAAACACTCTAAGGAGTGACTTCCCAGGGTAAGTA